TATATATATCTATATCTATATATATATATATATATATCTATATATATATATATATAAATTTTGTTACAAGCACGTAGATGTGTAACAATCCGTTAAAATTCACCTAAATGCAGAATAATTTTCTGGGTGAGGACCCCCAGACACCCCCACCCCCTGTCAGCCCACCCAGTATTTGCATTCAGTCATGGATCAGTTTCCAAATGAAGCTCTGTTACTTGTTCTCACTTCTGCTGTTATGATCCTGTTGAGTTTTATTTAGAGTTTTCTGTAACAATTTGAAGAACTGCGACATATTTATTGTGTTCATAATGTGAGTAAATAAAGTTTTAATTTGGATTTTGGTACTGATAATTTTCTCAAAAATGTAATTTTTGGAAGTTAAAATTAAAGATGTTGTTAATTAAATGTGGCTTGAATGAAAAATGTCCCATGTTTAAAAGTATAACTATTGTATTAACATTAATAAAGAACAGGTCTTGAGGATTTATGTTACACAAACTGAAAAAATAATTTAATAAACATGAAGGTTATGGGGGTCCTTGAAACTTTTTCTCCCCTGTACGGGGTCCCTGAACCCACAAAGTTTGAGAACCCCTGATCCAGATCCATGAGAGAGGAACCAGGTTCTAAAGAGCCGACTGCAGAACCAAGAATGTGTTTCTGACAGACGAGCTGCGACCTGCTCTCCACGCCGGGTCGTAAAGAACCCGTCTGAAATGTGAATGTTGGGTGATTCCTCTGAAACCGATATGTTACAGACTTTTAGATTCAGAAAAATCCAACAACAAAAAAATCACTTTATTTACACTCGGCAGCTTTTAAACATTGTTGTTTTTTAATCATGTTGTGATTCAAGTAAAAACTCAGATCTTGAGAAAATTTACTAAAATCAAATAACTTTTAAAATGACCGTCATCAACACATTCTGCAGTAAGTAATGCATAAAGATCAAAACTGTGGTCATAAATGAAATGTATATATATTTTATAATATCATTTATTGGTTGATGAGACTCTTTGTTTGTTAGGATTCTGTGAGACTTTTATTTTGTAGGTCAAAAGTCATTTTAAACTTATTTTAGTTTTATCTGCTACGCTGACAGTTTTTATGATTTCACTTCAATTTGCACAATTTTCTCAGCAAATACAGTAAAATTTCAAACATTTATCACTTTATTTTCCTGAAGTGTAGTTTTCTGTAGATTTTGATAAACGTGCAGAAATTTAAAGAGAATACTGAAGGAAAGCAGCCATTTTTAGTTCCCCCCGCCCCCCCCCCTCCACTTCTTGTCTAAATATTGTTGAAACATAAATCCTCTTTCACCTTAACTTCACAAACTTCACTGGATGATAATAAGAAGGTTTGGCTGCTGTGGAGCCACAGACCTGATATTCAGCAGAGATAATCAGCAGTTTTCTCTGCCGGAGACCCCCTGAAACATCCGCAGCTCCTCTGTTAGGAGGAGTTTTCGTTTGTCTCCGAACATTAAAGCTTTCGGTTTCACTGAAAGTCAACAAAGAGCCCGCAGATGTGGGGTTAGAGTTTGTCATTTCTCCCAGCAGCTCGTCATCTCGTCTCTGAAGCTGCTCTCTGTTCACTCTGCTGCGTTTAATTAGTCCAAGCACGTCTGATTACATAGAATCATGGCCGCATCTTCATGTGATGACACGCTGGATCGTCAGAGCTCCGTCGTCCTGCAGCCACAGGCTGGAGGAGGAATTCGTCAAAAAGCTGCTCGGCGTGTTTAAACGGGAATCAAACGCGTGGCTCTCAACAGGACGCTCCTGCTCAAAATGTTCAGAGATTTGGAGCTCGTCGTTGGTCCCCGCCGTGTATTTGTGTGTGAAGCCTCCTGGTGCTGTTGTGAGGAAGCAGTTTGTTGGCATGAAGGGCTGCTGCTTTCAGCCGAGTCCAGCTGTCGCAGCTCCTGCTCTGGACTGGACTACAGAGGAATACAGTAGGAGATGGTCTGTACAGTACTTATACAGCCCCTTTCTGTCTAATCAATACTAATGAAAAGCTCTTTACAACACAATCTGTGCCCTCATTTACCCCCACACACACATACAGCACTCTACTACATCTCTACAAAGATAATCTGAATCTTTAGAGACTAATCTGAGTTTTAGATCACATTCAGACACCGATGGGACACACATCAGAGGCAATGAGGGGTTCAGTTTCTTGCCCAGGGACACCTCAGCATGTAACTGCTGGTGGAATCAAACCCCCCCCACTCTCGCATTAGAGGACGACCACTCTAACCGCTCAGCCACAGCCGCCCTGAGGAACATCTCAGCTGACGACATCTGAGGCCCCGTTTACACAACGTGTTTTTGAGATGCTCGTGTGCCCAACAGCCCTGGTTCTCTCTGAAACTGAAGGTTTCTGAATCCAGGTTGGGGGACCCCCACTACCCCCCCACAGGTGTGAAGTGGCACATGTGCACAACAGGCGGCTGCAGCCTAAAATTTCTCTTCTCCAACAAGTCACAATAAATGGCAGAGAACAGGACGTTTTTTTGTACTCACCCTTTTTCAGCATGTTTGAGCAAACCACCAACACCCTAGGTCCAAATGAAGTTTGGACGTAAAGTGATCAAGCTGACACCACGATGCATGCAGCTAAGGGTTGCCAGATAAAATTAAATGTTGTTTTTTTTACCCCTTCTTTTCTGTGCACATGTTCATCAAACACACCTCATCTTGCAACACCTTCACTCATGGCTTGGGTCAAAATACGATAATTTTAAAGCGACTGTACAGTAGTTCATCATTTCTTATCTGGCAACCCTAAAGGCAAGGAAACTACAGGGTTTCCATGTAAACATACTGTTTTTTTATGATTCCTCCCAATGAACATTTAATAAAAACACCAAAGTTTCCAGAGGTGGTTCTGGTGTAAACCGGGCCTTTGTTCTGATTATCCAGTCATCAGACATCATGTAGAAGCTGAAGGAATGCATATCGCCCGCCACATTTCATCTCTCATGCCAGATTAGCCTAAGATCAGTTAACGCTGACAAAGTTGTAGCCATATTTAATAAAACGTGACAAGTTGTCACACTCGGCTCCGAGGACGACTCTCAGCTACTACCATGCTAAACTTTAGCTCAGTGTCTGTGAAAGTGACTGAGTCATAGTCATGTTTGTCTTTGCTAAGCTGTGGCAGCCATCTTGAACGGGAGTGACCTTTAAACTTGGACAGGTTTCTCTTCAAACAAAGCAGCTGAAGTGTTTCATGTTTGTGAAGCTGCAGGCTCGTGCTAAGTGTCTGGTTCTTGTCGTCACAGCTCACTGCAGCGGGGAGTGTGTCCACGGTCGCTGTGTGGCTCCGGACCGCTGCCAGTGTGCGAGAGGATGGAGAGGAGACGACTGCTCCAACGGTACCGGTCACACGCTGCTTCTTTACGTTCTCTTCTTCCAACTCCAGAGAGCTCTGTCCTGCCTGAACTCACACAAACAGGAAGCGGCCTCAGCAGGCCTCTCTTCAATGGCGGCACAGAGTCCAGTTTATGGTCCACAAGGACTCTGAGCTTCATAACCTGCCCTGATTTAACCCTTTCAAATGAATCTTTAAAACCGTTGAGGTTTTACAAAAGGTTTGAACGGTCCCGAGTCATAAGAGTCAAAGTTTTCTGTAAGATTTATTGTTCAGAAGTGTTCAACTCCGTTAAGCATCCAGAAACGTGGAGGTTGAACTCAGAGCAGCAAACTGAGGTGAGGGCTGGGGGTGGGGGGTGATGTTTCCTCCTGAAAATAAAGTTTCCACTACCTTCACCCCCCCAGTTTGTGTCTGGTCAGCCTGGTTAGCAGCACACCGCCTCCCTGCTCTGTTTCTCCACCATTCTTCTGCTGAGTTCTCAAATTAACGTCAGCGGGTAGTGGCTGATGTCCTGACAGGGAGGGGGGAGGGGGAGGGGGGTAAATGGAAAAAGTTACCCCGCTCTCCTCCTCCTCTTTCACTTCTACCATAACCCTCATTTAAGTTGTCTTTTTTTGCACTTCTTTGTGTTTTCCTCCTGTTTTTCCTGCTCATTTTCACCCTGATGGGAGCTTTCTTTAGTGGGGGTGTGTGTGTGTGTGTGTAATAAATGCAGTTACTTCCTGGACGTGTGTGTGCAGAGTTATGGATCTGTGGGGAAGAGGAGTGGGGGGGTTGATGTTTCCAGACTGAACATTTTTTGGACGTTTTGCTCATAAATATGGAGAAGAGTTCAAAGCTGAGCCGTTCGGTAAAATACCTTCTTTGTTTGTGTGGAACAGACGAGGGGGGAGCTAACGAGGCGAAATAAACCCCAAAACAATCATGTTACTATATTTAATTCTTCATCTAAACTAAGAAAAGCAGCGCTGCACGTCTGTTCTGGACATGGTGTGGACTTTGGAGCAAAGAAAACATCAGATTTGACCAAACCACGAGGGGGAAAGAGGAATTTTCCCATCCTATCAGAGCACGTTCACCACCTCTGAAACACGAAGCTGCTGTTCGCTTCACGCAGACGTGCACAATCTGGTTTATACATCACTGGAAAGGACACGTCCGTGATGCTTCATGCAGATAAATAATCTTAGTTTATTAGATAAATGATTAGATTTACACGTGCAGCAAGTTACATTCTTAGTGATTGAGGAAGAAATGCAGTTTTAAGCTCCATAAATGCTGAAATCTTGTTTCTAACGAGTGACTGAAGATGCAAGTGACGTTTCTGAGACAAAACTGTACTTCTAAAGGGTTCAGGATCGTTTGTCTGTGCAGGCGAGGTCAGGCGGCTGTAGGGAGGGTTTAAAGCCGTTCGGGTTGTTTATTAATGAAAAGTGCAAAAAAAACAAACAGCTTTTATGACGGAATATATTTGGAACAAAGAGGAACAGCAGGCACAGAAATGCTGCAACGGTTTTCAATCCATCATCATCACACTCACACACACACACGCACGCACGCACGCACACACACATGCACACACACACACACACACCCTGCTGCCCTGCAGAGGGTCTGTGTAAACATATTCACCTCTCCAGCTGAGCTCCTCATTACTCAGCGTGACAGAATCCATCAGAACTTTTCTCCAGAGCCCACACATGGAACCAGTTCTTCTAAACAGAGGAGGGACCAGTTCCAGGTCCCGGGTACCAGGTCCTGGGTCCTGAGTTAGAGTTATAAACTCTGCAGGCCTTGGCAGCACTGTTTGCTCCGAGCCTAATTTGGTTCTGCTTCACTCCCAGAGGGCCGAACCCAAACTTTGAGCCGCTCAGAGTTTGTACCGGTCCTGTTTGGATCACGACCCAGAAGAAGATCCAGAGTAGGGATCATGGATCAGAGACGTCACCGATGAGCTCAGAGCAAACTGGTGTTCCAAACAAACAGCTGATAAAAACATTAAGGTTCTGCGTTTGAACGAACCACTGAGTGATTTAAACGTGCTCGAGCTGCACGTCTGGAGCCTTTTCTGCTCCAAAGAAGGTTTAACGTCTTCAAACTGTTGTTGAAGTTTCTCTGATGTTGTTTTCTGTCAGTTTTTACATAAAAACATTCAGTGTTTGTTCAGAACAACAGCTGGATTAGAAAAAAAAAAGTTTTAAACTAAAAGAAAGAACAAAAGTTTTTAAGTTTGGACTCGCAGAACTTGAACTTGTTGAGCTGTTGAAGATTCACGTTCTCATCTTCGCTCATCGTTGGTTTTAACAGAAGGTTAAGTTAAATCAACTGGTAAAATAAACATTTTATTCTATTCTTAGTAACACATATTCTATTAAAACGAGTAAATAAACTTGAGTTTGATCAAAGTCAGACGTGTTTCGTGTTAAACTGTCTCTGACTTTTTTTAATCAGTCTTTTTATTGATTTTTGATTTTTGAATATACAAACCAAAATGAGAACACAAAGAACAAACAAACAAACGAAAATACCCCCCCCCCCCCCCTCATACCAGATCAGTCACACACACACAGATAAACTAAACAGGCATTGGCATGTTTTCCACATACAACATAAAAGGCCAAGTGTCCCAAAATCTTTTAACAGAACCCTTCAGGGTATATCTGTTTTTTTTTCCAGATGAATATGATTCACTTCTCTTATCCATTGTACATATTTGGGGGTGTGGGTCCTTCCAATTGCACAAAATAAGTCTCCTGGCCTGAAGAGAGCCAAAGGCAATCACACCCCTCTTGCATTTTCTGAAGGACGTATCCACAGGGACCACTCCAAACAGTGAGATGAATGATGATGGGTGTACAGTTTTTCCACATATTGCAGAGGTGGTGTCAAAAATAGATTGCCAAAAAAGCCTGTAGTTTGGGACAGGTCCAGAATGTATGCAGGAGTGTAGCTGGAGTTTGTTTACAATGATTACATGCAGGGTCCAGATCGGCTTTGATCTTGGACAGCTTGTCTTTGGACCAGTGCAGCCGGTGCACCACCTTGAATTGAATTACAGCATGTCTCGGACAGATTGAAGCTGAGTAAATGTTCTTAATGATCCTTCTCCAGACTGAGTCTGGTATGGGTTCCTCCAAGTCCATTTCCCATTTTAGTTTAAGGGGGTCCAAACTGGTCTCATGGTATGAACTGAGCAGTGTATAGGGCCCCCTTGGTATCAGGCCTGCATTCCAAAATCTTAGCCACAAAATGTTTAGAGGGGTACAAAGGAAAACGATCAGATTCATATCTCACAAAATGTCTCGGCTGCAAATATCTATAAAACTGTGACTTGTGAATATTAAACTTCTGTACCAGCTGTTCAACAGAGGCAAATCTACCATCAACATAGAGATCACACGGTGAATGTACTCCCCTCAAGACCCAGGAGTCACAAACTGTATCAGCTACTGGGAGAGTAAACATATGATTATTTGACACAGGTGCCAGAAACAGTTATTCTGTAGAGTTAACGGCCCTCCTGAACTAATTCCAAATCTTAACCACCCAGATCACAATTGGGTTAGAAGTGTAGGTTGATGCTGATTGTTTAAAGGGCAGCCGAGAGCAGAGTAATGCAGAGGGAGAACTGGAGCTAATTGAGGCCCTTTCCAAGGCCACCCAACTAGGAGAAGGGGGTGTCCTTACCCAACCAGAATAGTAGAGCACTGATATTAGCTGCCCAGCCTCTAACAGACTTTCAATTGGACACTGAAGCTTCGGTTTCTTTTTTATGTGTCAGACTGTGATGCCAAACACTGGGGCGTGGGCTGCCGTCAGGACTGTAAGTGTGAGAACGGCGGTCTCTGCGACCCAGCGACTGGAGCCTGTCAGTGTCCGCCGGGCTTCATCGGACTCCTCTGTGAGGATTCTTGTCCTGCGGGGACATTCGGGCGGGGCTGTCGGCAGACATGCAAGTGCAAAAACGGAGCGTCCTGTGATAAATCGACCGGAGAGTGCACGTGTCGAGATGGCTTCACTGGGACTTTGTAAGTACCTTGTTATATGTCACTTGGACTTTGTTTTTAAAACACCATTTTTATTTTAATTGCTTTTATTGTTGTCTGTACCTCATCTGTGTTATTTGGCTAAAATAACACAGGTCTAAAACACAGGTATAACTTGGCTAAAATTTTCAGGTCTCTCTTGTAAATGAGTCCTCGAGGCTCAATGGGATTTACCTGTATAAATAAAGGTTGATTGAAAACAGGTCTCTCTTGTAAATGAGTCCTCGTGACTCAGTGAGACTAACCTGTATAAATGAAAGTTGAACAAAAAAATTAAAAAGTAAGGGCTTTAAAAAAACCCAGGTTTAATCAGATCTAAAGACTTCCTCTTCAGCTAAGGGGCCATGTCTCAGGATGAATTTATTTCATGTTTGTTCAGTTTAATAATTAAAAAAACAGCGCTAATGCTGGAGTTGGACCCACAGACTAGGTCCAGGTTTAGTGTTGTTATCAGAGCTCAAAGCACCTCCTGGTTTGGACTAAAACATCTTCAGAGCTAAATGTTTCTGCTGGGAGACACTCCTGTTACCTGAGCAGTTAACATTTGTTAGACTCAGGTCTTCAACTCAGTCTGAAGCTGGAAGAGACGCCCTGAAGGTTTGAATAATCTAGATTTTAGCTGCCCATGAAGGTCTGAATAATCTGGATTTTAGCGGTCCCTGAAGGTCTGAATAATCTGGATTTTAGCTGTTCCTGAAGGTCTGAATAATCTGGATTTTAGCTGTCCCTGAAGGTCTGAATAATCTAGATTTTAGCTGCCACCGAAGGTCTGAATAATCTGGATTTTAGCTGCCTCCGAGGAAGAGGATGCAGGAGAAACTCCCCCTTGTGATGCAGCTGCAGGTCATTTCAGTCAAAAACCTCTGTTATGATTGGACAAAGTTTTATTCCGTCCAGCCTGTCCCAGTGTCCCACACATGAGACACCAAGGTTTGGTTTGTCCTAGACCATGTTTCAGTTTTTATCTAAAGGTTTATTTCTGAATTTTTCCATCAGTAAACGTTTTAGAGTCTAAACCATGACGTCTGTCATCAGGATTCATACAAACAGGAAGTGGACAAACTGGTGATGTCCATTCTGTGTCTCTGTCCTCCTGTCTCTGTTTGTTTCTGTCCCTCTGTCTCCACGTCCTCCTGTTTCATTCTTTTCTGTCTCTGTTTGTATCTTTCCTCCTTCTCTCTGCCTCCTTGTCTCTGACCTTCTGTCTCTGTCCCCCAGCTGTGAGAAGACATGTAAAAGGAAATGCCAGCTGCGATGTCCCTGTCAGAATGGTGGCACCTGTAAGGGCAAAGGGGTCTGCGCCTGTCCTCCTGGATGGACGGTACGTCTTCGGGCCATTTGTCCATTTTTAATGAAGGTGACAAAATGTGTCTTTTTTTCAGCTGGCTCAGATTGTTGGACAAATACAAGAAAACTTTGACAAAACAAACCTTGCACAGAGATCTTACTGCCTGCGTGTCACAGATTAGGTTTCTGTTGATTAATCACAGGAGGAGGTGTCTCCTCTTCTCAGAAGGTTTTTCCATCAATGTGTTCCTCTGCAGGGCGCCGTCTGCACAGAACCATGTCCTGACGGGTGGTTTGGACAAAACTGTTCTGAGGAGTGTGTTTGTCACAACGGCGGTAGATGTGACCCGATCACCGGACAGTGCCGGTGTACCGATGGCTTCACGGGGAACAGGTGTGCAGAAATCCATCCGATGTCACCTCCTAACCACAGAATGGGGCGGGGGTGGGGGGGGGGATGTCCTTTTGAGCCAATCAGCAGGTGTCTCCATGTCTTTCCTCCCCAGGTGTAACGAGGAGTGTTCTGCAGGCTCCTATGGTCCGGACTGTAAAGGTGTGTGTGACTGTGCTAACGGAGCTCGCTGCTTCAACATCGACGGGAGCTGCCTGTGTGAGCCGGGCTTCAGCGGGCCGCGGTGCCGGAACAGGATGTGTGACCCTGGGAGCTATGGCATGCACTGCGAGCAGAAGTGTCTCTGTCAGGACAAACACACTCTCAGGTGAGGGTCTGTGTCCTGAAGGACACGAAGGGACAGGCTGTCCTTCGTGCTGGTTTTCATCTGTGCCCAAACATCTGTAACATCAGTCAGGTTTCTGATCAGAGACATGACAAAACTACAGAAATTACATTTTCTGTAAAACAAAAATAAATAATAAAAAAATTAAAAGCAGGATGAACACCAAGAGACTGCTGTAATTTGCTGAAGAATAATAGATAAAAACTAAAAGTAGTATAAGAGGAGTAAAACAGAACCAGTTCCCTGAAGCAAGTTTCAAAAGGAATAATGTTTTTAAAAGATCCAATAATGGTCAATCAGGTCATCTGGACAGTTTCTTTTTTTGTGGAAAGATGTTTTGCCCTCTATCCGGAGGGCTTCATCAGTGTGAGGAGTCTCAAGTGAACTGTTTTCCCCATTAAACAGTACACTCCTTTAGTGGACCAACCAGTTTGCTGGTGATAAGATGCTTTCTGGGGGTTGTCCTGTCCCCCGTCGACTCTTCCCAGGCAGGCAGCCATTGCCAAAGTGGTTCAAGACATCAAAGTTCATGCTCAGTCATCCAGGTACAAAATCCAATAATGGTCAGTCAGGTCATCTGGACAGTTTCTTTTTTGTGGAAAGATGTTTTGCCCTCTATCCGGTAGTATGACTGACGAAGCCCTCCGGATAGAGGGCGAAACATCTTTCCACAAAAAATAAACTGTCCAGATGACCTGATTGACCATTATTGGATTTTGTACCTGGATGATTGAGCATGAACTTTGATGTTTTTAAAAGATCTAACCAGGTCAAGTCAGGTCCTCTGCACGGATTCTTCTTTGTTGAAACGTTTCGTCTTTCATCCAGAAGACTTATTCAGTCTGAAAAGCTGCAACAAACTCAGTCATAAGACTGCAGCACCTTCTCATAGTTTGCTTCTGACAGTCAGAACTAGCTTTTCACATGTAAAAATAGGCCCATCAGCCTAAAGACCGATCGTTAGTGCCCTAACAATCGGTCATTAGTGCCTGAAGTACCAGAAGTCTTTTGGATAAAAGACAAAACGTTTCAACAAAGAAGAATCGGTCCAAAGGACCTGACTCAACCTGGTTGGATTCATCTGCTTGGATTACTGAGCAGCATCAGGATATTTTTAAAAAAAGAAGTTAGAAAAACCAAAAGTCACGGCACCCACCTGCTGAACGAGCTGAAGGTTTTGATGGATTAACAGCTAAAATAGTTCCAATTCAAACTGCAGCCAACAGGAGAACACTGTGATGCTGACTCAGCGCTCATTCTCCTGCGGTGACGCGTTCTCTTTGTTCGACGTGTTTTCCCACCTGCAGCTGCCATCCAATGAAGGGAGAGTGCACATGTGAGCCGGGCTGGGCCGGTCTCCACTGCAACGAGACCTGCGCTCAGGGGTTCTACGGACCCGGCTGCGTGGAGCCGTGTCTGTGCGTGAATGGAGGCGTGTGTGACAGCGCCACGGGTCAGTGTCGGTGCGCCCCCGGCTTCACGGTAAGTCCAGCTCTTCAGCCCGACTGACCCGTCAGTGAAAGGACGACTGAATGTCCTGGTTCTTCTCTGCTGCAGGGCCTTCACTGTGAGAGTCCGTGTAAAAGTGGGACCTTCGGCAGGAACTGCTCCATGGAGTGCTCCTGTGAGAACTTCATCGATTGCTCGCCCGTTGATGGGACCTGCTTTTGCAAAGAGGGTAAAATAAAGAAATCTGACGGAGCAGCTTTAAACGAATGGAGCAAATCGTCTCACAGTGTCCAACATGTCTCCAGGCTGGAGAGGCCCGGACTGTTCGGACCCTTGTGCTGAGGGAACCTGGGGCCCAGGATGCAATGCCACCTGCCACTGCGACAACGAGGCAAAATGTAACCCGGCTGATGGTTCCTGTGAGTGCTCTGCAGGCTGGCAGGGGGCGCACTGCGACCAGCCGTGCCAGGTGAGTCCCAGAGGAGACTTTACAAATCCACATTCATTTCAGGTCCAGAAGCACGTCAGTCCATCCTGACTGCTTCTACTGACATGATGTTAGGGATGAGCCAGGTGCTGCTGGTTGTCATCAGAGGGGCATACAGGTGTGTGTTAACACAATGTCAAGACGGAAGGACATCAGCAATGACCTTAGAGTAGCAATTGTTGCTGCTCGTCAATCTGGAAAGGGTCAAATGTTGTTTCCAAACTATTCATCCATCATCTTTACCCGCTTCTTCCTTTTCCTGTCATGGGGGTCACTGGTACCCATATCCAGCAGTCACTGTGTGAGAGGCAGGGGACACCCTGGACAAGTCTCCAGTCCATCACAGGGACACAGAGAGACAAACGAGACAACCAACCATTCACTCTCTCTCTCTCACACCTAGGGACAATTTAGAGTTACCAATCAGCCTAACATATATGTTTTTGGTCTGTGGGAGGAAACCGGAGTACCCGGAGAAAACCCATGCATGCACGGAGAGAACATGCAAATGTTACCCAGGAAGGCCCCTGGCCTGGATTTGAACCAGCGACCTGCTCTCTGAGGGGAAACGGCTCTACTGACAACTGATCCACCGTGCTGCTGTTTCCAAACTGTTTATAGTGAATGATTCTACAGAAACTAAAGACGATTTGTGAGTGGGAAACTAAGACAGCTGACTGACGAGTGGTTCTGATCTAATCGGACAATGTTCCCAAACACAGAACAGAACCGAGCGATTTAGTCAAAGTCCAGAACTTCAACCTGACTGAACGCATGATAACTGTGACGTCCTGACGTCACCTCTGTTAAGTTTTCTTCAGTCTGTGTTTTGGATCACACCGTCCCCGTTTGTACTGAGCCAACCCGAGCGCCTGTCCTCCTCCTCAGAACCGGTGTCATGTATGTTCCTCCTGGCTGAGCCCGAGCAGAGAACCCCCGATGACTCTGCCTGTTGGCTCCTTTTCTCTGTGCAGATGGGCACGTTCGGTCCCGGCTGTCTGAAGAGGTGTAATTGTGTTCACGCCAGTGGCTGCCAGCCCGCCGCCGGGGAGTGCCGCTGCCTGCCAGGTTGGACCGGTAAGTGATGACGTCCTGCCACCTCTGCCAGCTTGGCTCCGGTACCACAGAGAAGGTCCAACAGGACGGAGGGAGCCACAGGTTTTAAAACGGCCTCACGTTTATTTTGATGGCTTTGCTGTTGGGATTAAAGGAAAAGTAACATCTGATTGACTTTGGGAGATAAACTCATCAGTTCGTGTGTGGCCCACATGATGACATCATAATAAATAATTAATCACCAGGCTGATCCAGCCTGCGGGTCTGCAGGTCTCAGGTTTGATTTGGTTCTCCTTCAGGTCCCCGCTGCAGTGAGCCCTGTTCTGAGGGTCTGTGGGGTCCCCACTGTAACCAGACCTGCTCCGAGCGCTGCCCCAACAGTGACACGTGTTTGAGGAAAACTGGGGAGTGCGTGTGCCGTCCAGGCTACTGGGGGGCCACCTGCCTGAACAGTAAGTGTTGTTTTGACCTAGAAACTGGACCCAGGTACCTGACTCAGGGTTTAAATGTTCAGTTTCAGAGTCAACGTTTTCTTAACGGTGTTTCCTTCCACCAGACTCCTCTGAGCAGGCGGGCAGCGTCATGGTCCCTCTCCCTCCGGGTGAAAAGGAGTCCTGGGGGGCCATCAGTGGCATTGTGGTTCTGGTCCTCCTGGTGGTCCTGCTACTGGCCCTGCTGTTGCTCTACAGACGAAGACAGAAAAAGAAGCAGAACAACACGCCCACTGTCTCCTTCTCCACCAGCCGCAGCGTCAACTCTGAGTACGCCGTTCCAGGTACGAAAGCCAAACTCGGAGTATCCGGGTCACGGGTGACTAGAGAGAAACTCTTCAGCTCAGCTGAGCATGGAGGGGCAGCTTTCAAATGGTTTGAGTCACCCATTGGCTTGGGGGGTGCAGGACATGTACAAGGACAGAAACGGAAGGGGCGTTAAAGGTGGAGTCCATCAGGGATCAGCTCTGAGCCCCTTCCTTTTTTTGTGTGTGAATGGACAAGTTGACATATAAGATCAGGCAGGAGTCTCCAGGGATCTTGATGTTTGCAGATGACATCTGAAGTGAGGGTAGGGAGCAGGTGGAAGAGAGCCTGGAGAGGTGGAGGGAAGGTTTACAAGATGAGACCTGTTGTGATGTTTGCTTTGGTTCTAACACAAAGACAGAAGGAGCTGAAAGTGGCAGGGTTAGAAAAGTCCACCAGAGGGACATGTTGGACAAAGGATGCTGAACATGGAGCTCCAGAGAAGAGGGGTGGGAACCAGAGAAGGTTGGTGGAGAGCATGGAGGGGGAGATGGAGGCAGATGATCCACCGTGGAGAGCAGCTGAAAGAAGAAACCGTTCCTAATTTAATTTATTTTAATGTGAACGAGCTCCTTGATAAACACTTAAATCTGCAGGGACACTAAAATTATTACGCCTTCCCATAATTCTTTGCAGCTTCCTGCTTCAGAGCAACCCTTCAACAGGTTCATGTGAGGTCAGGAAAGACTTTTCAATCATTTCATTCTGTGAATATTTTACTTGTTTAATGTAAATGCTTTAATCGTCTAACCAAAATAAAAGTTTTTAGGTTTTGTTTTGAATTTATAAATGAATGTTCCCAAACTCTCAGTACAAGGCTGCTGTGTCTTCTAACTCCTCACATCTTTGCTTCATGATGTTTCTGACGGAGCTGCAGGAACACGACATCTTCACCTGTTTCACTGTTTCTGGGTTAAATGTTCCACAGAGTTTCACTTCCTTGATCTTTGGTGATATTTAAAAAGAACAACGAGCATCAGACGAGACTTCACGGGTTTGTTTTGTTCCTGCAGACGTTCCTCACAGTTACCATCATTACTACTCCAACCCCAGCTACCACACGCTGAACCAGAACCAGCCGCCGCTGCCGCACCTCCCCAACAACCACGGTCGCATCATCAAGGTGCGGCTCCTCTCTTTTACTCGTCTGACTTAAGGAAAACGTAAAGTAAAATGTTCTGCTCCTGCTGTTCCACAGAACACCAACAACCAGCTGTTCTGCAGCGTGAAAAACGCAGCGAGGGAGAGACGCCGTTTGTTCGGAGTCGAGTCCAACGCCACCCTGCCTGCGGACTGGAAACACCACGAGTCCCGCAAAGAATCAGGTCCGCCTCATCCTTCTCATTATCACACACGTCGTATGTCCTGTTAACAAAATATCCCGTGCACCACTGAACAGATTGATCGGTCTCGATCAACATGGCTTCCAGAGCCGCCTCTGTGAATTTACAGATGTTGAGCTAAAATTAGGTGTTTCTGTAGCTCAACACAGACTCCAAGCTCCAACAGATCATGCAAGAATCCAAAGTTTATGCTCAATAATCCAGGTAAAAAAATCCAGCAATGTTCAGTCAGGTCACCTGGACGGTTTCTTTCTTTTTATTTTTTGCTGAGATGTTTTGTTCTTCATCCATCGGACTTCATCAATCTGAGAAGAAGCCACCAAACAAACTGATTCTCACAAACAGTATACTCCATAGTTGGGAAAAAAAAAAAAAAACAGTTTGCTGATGCTAAGATGAACTCTGAGACCCGCCCTCTCCTCCGGGGCCCGCCCTCTCCCTCGTCAACTCCTCCGAGACAGTCATGCCTAAGTGGTTCAAAACACCAAAGTCCATGCTCAATAATCCAGGTATAAAATCCAGCAATGTTCAGTCAGGTCACCTGGACGGTTTCTTTGTTTTTTCTGAGACGTTTCGTCCTTCATGAAGGCAGGCGGGCCCCAGAGGTCATCTTAGCACCAGCAAACTGTTTTTTTTTTTTTT